TTTATACAGACACCTCAGTGAATTCAGCATGTCAACACTACTTACAAAAACATGTAGTGATGAAGTCAATCTCTCCTCCACGTTGAGCAATGAGAGATTTACATGCATATTATTAATGTTAGCTCTCAGTGTACATTTAAGGGCCAGCCGTGATGCCCTGTTCTGAGACTATTGTAATTTTCAGAGGTCCGCCTTTGTGGCACATGACCACACAACTGAACAGTAGTCCAGGTGTGACAAAACTAGAGGCTGTAGGACCTGCCTTGTTGATAGTGTTGTTAAAAAGGCAGAGTAGCGCTTTATTATGGACAGACTTATCCCCATCGTAGCTACTGTTGTATCAATATGTTTTGACCATGACAGTTTACAATCCAGGTTTACTCCAAGCAGTTTAGTCACCTCAACTTGCTCAATTTTCACATTATTTATTACAAGATGTAGTTGAGGTCTAGGGTTAAGTGAATGATTTGTCCCAAAAACAATATATATTTAGGACTAACTTATGTCTTGCCACCCATTCTAAAACTAACTGCAGCTCTTTGTTAAGTGTTGCAGTGATTTCACTCGCTGTAGTAGCTGACGTGTATAGTGTTGAGTCATCAGCACACATAGACACACTGGCTTTACTGAAGAAAATAAATAAGGGGCCTAGACAGCTGCCCTGGGGAATTCCTGATTCTACCTGGATGATGTTGGAGAGGCTTCCATTAAAGAACACCCTCTGTGTTGTATCTGGTCAAACATTATTTTACCCCAAAGTTTAAGTGTTGGTAACAGGGTGATTGGTTGGCTACTTGAGCCAGTAAAAGGGGCTTTACTATTCTTGTGTAGCGGAATTACTTTTGTTTCCCTCCAGGCCTGATGGCACACACTTTCTACTTTCTAGTAGGCTTAAATTGAAGATATGGCAAATAGGAGTGGCAATATCGACCGCTATTATCCTCAGTAATTTTCCATCGAAGTTGTCAGACCCCGGTGGCTTATCATTGTTGATAGACAACGGTATTTTTTCACTTCTTCCACATTAACCTTACGGAATTCAAAATTACAATGCATGTCTTTCATAATTGTATCCGTTATACTTGGATGTGTAGTGTAAGCGTTTATTGTTTGCTAATATTGCCAACTGCTTTAAGGATTTTTTTATTGGCAAGATCAGTGGGTTTTGTGATGAATGAGCCATATGATTCAATGAATGATGGAGCTGAGTTTGCCTTTTTGCCCTGCATTTCATTTATTTTTGTTTCATAGTGTACACTACCAGTCAAAAGTTTTAGAACACCTACTCATTCAAGGGTTTTTCTTTATTTTTACTATTTTCTACATTGTAGAATAATACTGAAGACATCAAAACTATGAAATAACACATGGAATCATGTAGTAACCAAAAAAGTGTTAAACAAATCAAAATATATTTGACATTCTTCAAATAGCCACCCTTTGCCTTGATGACAGCTTTGCACACTCTTGGCATTCTCTCAACCAGCTTCACCTGGAATGCTTTTCCAACAGTCTTGAAGGAGTTCCCACATATTCTGAGCACTTGTTGGCTGCTTTTCCTTCACTCTGCGGTCCGACTCATCCCAAACATCTCAAGTTGGTTGAGTTCGGGGGATTGTGGAGGCCAGGTCATCTGATGCAGCTCTCCATCTTGGTAAAATAGCCCTTATACACCCTGGAGGTGTGTTGGGTCATTGTCCTGTTGAAAAACAAATGGTAGCCCAAACCAGATGGGATGGCGTATCGCTGCAGAATGCTGTGGTAGCCATGCTGGTTAAGTGTGCCTTGAATTCTAAATAAATCAGTGTCACCAGCAATGCACCCCCACATCATAACACCACCTCCTCCATGCTTTATGGTGGGAAATACACATGTGGCGGTCCTCATGAGAGCCAGTTTCATCATAGCGCTTGATGGTTTTTGCGACTGCACTTGAAGAAACTTTCAAAGCTCTTATACAATATATTACGCCCAGCCTTTGGAACTTCATTTTCCTAGATATGGCTACTATGTTGTGATCACTACATCCGATGGATTTGGATGCAGCTTTAACCTTTTCACACGTAACAACAAACGGGTGTGATCATTGTACAGTGGTCCTTGCAGCGTACGCTCAAACCGGTGTGATTAGAACGATTTAGAACATCCAGTTTCGATTGACGCAACAGTCAGCATTTGAGCTAGCCACACTTTTTCACAGAAACATTTTGCACAAACAGTCCTTACACAGTAATGTCCTGAATGTGACTAGTTCATTTTTTGGATGCAATGTTCAGACATTCACAGATGTAGCGACAGCATACACAGTCATCCAAACCGGAAAATGTAGGCTACATTAGTCCTAGTGCTAACTGAGGAAAGATTGACGTAACACAAGCGGTCATATTTAGAGAACTCTCGGCTGTCAGAAACCACAATATGAATGAGCTAATAGCAATTGCTATTTAGAATTCATCACATCAAGGGTGAGCTCACCATTGATCGAAATAATTGAGTAAACTCTTTCTAGAAATGGAAAGTAATCCGACGATGGGTAGTTTGTGCGCGCCACCATGTTTGATTTTTCGCATCAACCAAAGCTAATAAAAGGAGACAAGATGAGTTTGGTCTGTTTGCAGTATGCATGTTGAAGGGGGTGTGTCGTGTATGGTCATTCACTTCCCTTCATTCCCTTCCGGAAGTTTACCCTTCACCTCATAACTTCTTTGGTCTGACAGACGTTGACGTGACACCCAGAATGCGTTGTATAATGTCAACAAACATGGCGCCACACATAGCTGGCAAATAGCTTAGCATTAGCTCATTATAATCAGAACCTTCAAAAAAGTATTTTACACACATCATAGGTTTCCTTTACAATCTATGCAATAATCGGAATGCATTATTTGTCACCAGAACTTGAAAACGTGAATATAACTAAATACATTATGCTCCATACGTACAAAACATACACACATACAAACTGTATTCTACAGTAGAAACGACAACACGATATACAGAAAATAAGGCACTTACTTTGATAGGAACGCACACATGTCCAAAGTTATTATTTGTAAGGAAAAATACAAGGAAGGCAATGCGAGCGCCAGCCAGAAAATTTGCCAATTCGTGCAAGACTGCGCAAATGTCTGCATACTTGATCTGCGGAAACATTGGTGAAGACGTGCTTGGGCTCTCCTCGAAGAGAGAAGTTTGTCCGGCTCAGTAAAGCCTCAAACATAAATTGTCCACAACACTGAAAAGGGCTACTTCTATATGAATTAATGAGGAGGTGGAACACACCTCAATTCAAACTGTTGTTAGAAAATAAAACTTGTTAGAAAACAATTTGAAATTGACAAGTTGAAACAGCCTATAGATAATTAGCAGGCAGCACATGTTAACTGTCCTGTTGCGTAACAGTCACATTTTGGAACAGTGCGGCCATTCTGACATCACGTGCATAAAATAAATCACGCTGGGGCGATTGTTAGAGATATTTGGAACTGATGTGTGAAAAGGTTAAAGCAAATTTCTGCAGCATTAGTAAAAATGTGATCAATACATGTTGATGATTTCATTCCTGTGCTGTTTGTAACTACCTTGGTAGGTTGACTGATAACCTGAACCAGGTTGCAGGCACTAGTTACAGTTGGAATTTTTCTCTTGAGTGGGCAGCCTGATGAAAGCCAGTCAATATTTGAATCACCCAGAAAATATACCCCTCTGTTGATATCATATACATTATCAAGCATTTCACATGTTATCCATATACTGACTGTTAGCACTTGGTAGCTTCCCACCAGAATGGGCTTGACGTGAGGCAGATGAACCTGTAGCCATATTACTTCAACAGTATTTAACATGAGATCCTCTCTCAGCTTTGCAGGAATGTGGTTCTGAATATGAACGGTAACAACTCCGCCTTTTGTAATTTCTGTCTTTTCTTAGATGTTATAACCATGTATTGCTACCACTGTATCATCAAAGGTATTATCTATGTGAGTTTCAGAGATTGTCAGAATATGAATGTCATCTGTTACTAGCAAATTATTGATTTCATGAACCTTGTTTCTTAAGCTACATATGTTCACGTGGGCTATTTTTAGCACTTTTCTGGGATTCTTGATTGTTTTAATTGCTTTACTGGGAAGCTTGGCAGAAGTAGACATGTGCATGTTCTTTATGTTCGTGCAGGGTGAGCTGCACACAGTGGACTTCCTACTAGAGCACACCGCCTCAGTGCTAACTGTATAACTCTGCTTCATAGGCACATGATTACTGCATACAATAGATGTGGGATCAGCAGAGGCATTCGGTGCAGTAAGAGGGACATAAATTAGGTTACTTACATTGTCTCTTCCAACGCCCCTAGGATAATGTACATTTTCTGAAGCATTATGACAACTCAGTTACACAATAGTTTGGATTAACGGAGCTTGGCTTGGGTCATTGATAAGTCATTGTCTCAACACAGCCTTATAATGCTGTGAAAGGATCCAGGATCCCAAATGATTTTGTTGGATCCCATCCTCCTTATAATACAAGCTTTGTTTCCAGAAGTTATCAAAATTGTCAATAAATGTTACACTCACAGAGCTGCAATAGTCTCCTAGCCAGTTATGGAGGGCTAAAAGTCTGCTGAACAGTTCGATGCCACGATTTATGGAGCCATTTTTTTAAAACTTCAAAGTGAAGAATCTTCATTTCAGTTTAGATAATTTTTTTGTCCTGTGTGTTTTGTAAATCAAGCAAATATACACGTGAACAAAGTTGTATTTCTAGTTATTTTAAAAGAACTAGTGAATCGTGCAAGGGTGACCATATATTTGACCAGCAACTGTATGGAATTTATTAGAACACTCGTGACACTAGAGACTTGCAACCAGTCAACTGAGAAGAACACTATATTATGAGATCTGTAATACAGTGACCTGGCGTTGCAGGTGAACAACAGCGATGTGACTTGCCCCCAGCGAGTGTACCTGCGGCACCTCCGTAAGAATGACATCACCAAAGGAATGAAAGTTCAGGTTTGTGCTCTGGCCAGCGCCTTTAATGTCCTTTTGAGGTCATGTTTAGGTCCGGGAAAAAGTCTGACCTAAAGTGTCACCATTGATTGAATTCAAGAGGCAAAAGTAAGGACTGATCTTATTTTTGACGCATGTTTAGAAAATATGCTATGGGAATGTCTGATGTTAGAACAATCCACAGGTGTACAAACTAATCCAACATACCTCAATGTTCCACCCACACAATGATGATAGTCCTGTAGGTACATAGGCCAACATTTGTAGTATGTTGAGTATCTCATTGTGTTTGTGTATTCAGATGAAGTCTTGTCTCTTCCTGGTTGTCTGTGCCTTAAGGTGTCTGTGGTGGAGTTGCGTAGCCCTGGTAGGTTCTTCATTCACGTCCAAAGCCCAGAGCTGGTTGAGGCTCTGAGAGCCATTACTGTGGAACTGCAGAAGACTAACGGCGGCTCGCTAGGGACAGACTACAAGCCCATCACCGGAGAGGTCTGCGCCGTCAAATACTCCTTGGATCAGGTGAGGAATAAGCAAAAAATGCAGTCATAAAAATACTTCTTAGTATGGATTTTTAAAGGCTCTATCTAATCCTTTGCTTATCTCCCACTCTAGAAATGGTACAGAGGTGTTGTCCAGTCTGTAGCTGCAGATGATAAATATGCAAACGTTCTCTACATTGACTTCGGAAACGAAGAAGACGTGACACTGGATCGGATCAAGCCCCTCGCTGCCAGCATTGAACCCATTCCACCATGTGTGAGTTCATCGTGAAAATTATTTTAGAAGTTGCGTTCTCCTGGCATCCGCCAAACCCAGATTTGTCTGTCTGACTGTCAGATGGATAAGCGTGATTCATCACTCCAGGGAACGCGTTTCCACTGCTCCAGAGTCCAATGGTGGCGAGCTTTACACAACTCCAGCCGACGCTTGGCATTACGCATGGTGATCATAGGCTTGTGTGCGGCTGCTCGGCCATTGAAACCCATTTCATGAAGCGCCCGACGAACAGTTCTTGTGCTGTCGTTGCTTCCAGAGGCAGTTTGGAACTCTGTAGTGAGTGTTGCAACCGAGGACAGACGATTTTTACTAGCTACAGTGGGGAGAACAAGTATTTGATACACTGCCGATTTTGCAGGTTTTCCTACTTACAAAGCATGTAGAGGGTCTGTATTTTTTTATCATAGGTACACTCCAACTGTGAGAGACGGAATCTAAAACAAAAATCCAGAAAATCACTTTGTATGATTTTTAAGTAATTCATTTGCAGTTTATTGCATGACATAAGTATTTGATACATCAGAAAAGCAGAACTTAATATTTGGTACAGAAACCTTTGTTTGCAATTACAGAGATCATACGTTTCCTGTAGGTCTTGACCAGGTTTGCACACACTGCAGCAGGGATTTTGGCCCACTCCTCCATACAGACCTTCTCCAGATCCTTAAGGTTTCGGGGCTGTCGCTGGGCAATACGGACTTTCAGCTCCCTCCAAAGATTTTCTATTGGGTTCAGGTCTGGAGACTGGCTAGGCCACTCCAGGACCTTGAGATGCTTCTTACGGAGCCACTCCTTAGTTGCCCTGGCTGTGTGTTTCGGGTTGTTGTCATGCTGGAAGACCCAGCCACGACCCATCTTCAATGCTCTTACTGAGGGAAGGAGGTTGTTGGCCAAGATCTCGCGATACATGGCCCCATCCATCCTCCCCTCAATACGGTGCAGTCGTCCTGTCCCCTTTGCAGAAAAGCATCCCCAAAGAATGTTTCCACCTCCATGCTTCACGGTTGGGATGGTGTTCTTGGGGTTGTACTCATCCTTCTTCTTCCTCCAAACACGGCGAGTGGAGTTTAGACCAAAAAGCTCTATTTTTGTCTCATCAGACCACATGACCTTCTCCCATTCCTCCTCTGGATCATCCAGATGGTCATTGGCAAACTTCAGACGGGCCTGGACATGCGCTGGCTTGAGCAGGGGGACCTTGCGTGCGCTGCAGGATTTTAATCCATGACGGCGTAGTGTGTTACTAATGGTTTTCTTTGAGACTGTGGTCCCAGCTCTCTTCAGGTCATTGACCAGGTCCTGCCGTTTAGTTCTGGGCTGATCCCTCACCTTCCTCACGATCATTGATGCCCCACGAGGTGAGATCTTGCATGGAGCCCCAGACTGAGGGTGATTGACCGTCATCTTGAACTTCTTCCATTTTCTAATAATTGCGCCAACAGTTGTTGCCTTCTCACCAAGCTGCTTGCCTATTGTCCTGTAGCCCATCCCAGCCTTTTTAATTTTTATTTATTTAACCTTTATTTAACCAGGAAGGGCTCATTGAGATTTAAAATCTATTTTTCAAGAGCGTCCTGGCCAAGATAGGCAGCACCAAGTCATTACAAAAAATTACAGACAGACAACATGAAAAACTACAAGTAATCTAGTAAAAACCATTCATGAATTCACAGGAGTATAACAATATCAAAAACAGCAAATTAAAAACATTGACAGGTCAGGGAATCAGCCTCAAAATCCTTCATCAGAGATTTAAAAACACCAATCGGGACAAGTTCTTCCAGTTTAAAATTATTTTGTAAGGTGTTCCAAGACGATGGCGCAGAGTACATAAAAGACCTTTTACCAAATTCAGTTCGGACATTTGGAACAGTTAGCAGGATAAAGTCCAGTGAACGAAGAGAGTACCCACCACATTTCTGAACAATAAAAATGCCCAAATAAAAAGGTAGTAAACCCAAAATGGCTTTGTAAATAAAAGTATACCAGTGACTGAGCCTACGAGTGACTAGAGAAGGCCAGCCAACCCTGGTATACAAAGTACAGTGGTGCGTAAGGGTTTTACAGTTTAAAATAAATCTCAAAGTACCATGATAAAGAGTGTCAATTGATCTCAAACACTGAGCGGAAGCATTCATATATAAAATATCCCCATAGTCTAGTAAAGGCATAAATGTAGCTGATACTAGCCTCCTTCTGGCTTCAAAAGAAAAACAGGCCTTATTCCTAAAATAAAATCCCAATTTCAGCTTCAATTTTTTTGTAAGTTGTTGAATATGCAATTTAAAAGAGAGGCCGTCATCAATTAGAATTCCAAGATATTTATATGAGGTTACAACCTCAATCTCCTTGCCCTGACAGGTAGTAACAGGTGAAAGGTTCAGAGGTCTATTTCTTGCATTGTGCAGGTTTACAATTTTATCCCTGATGTCCTTACACAGCTCTCTGGTCTTGGCCATTGTGGAGAGGTTGGAGTCTGTTTGATTGAGTGTGTGGACAGGTGTCTTTTATACAGGTAACGAGTTCAAACAGGTGCAGTTAATACAGGTAATGAGTGGAGAACAGGAGGGCTTCTTTAATAAAAACTAATAGGTCTGTGAGAGCCGGATTTCTTACTGGTTGGTAGTTGATCAAATACTTACAGTGGGGAAAAAAAGTATTTAGTCAGCCACCAATTGTGCAAGTTCTCCCACTTAAAAAGATGAGAGAGGCCTGTAATTTTCATCATAGGTACACGTCAACTATGACAGACAAATTGAGAAAAGAAAATCCAGAAAATCACATTGTAGGATTTTTAATGAATTTATTTGCAAATTATGGTGGAAAATAAGTATTTGGTCACCTACAAACAAGCAAGATTTCTGGCTCTCACAGACCTGTAACTTCTTCTTTAAGAGGCTCCTCTGTCCTCCACTCATTACCTGTATTAATGGCACCTGTTTGAACTTGTTATCAGTATAAAAGACACCTGTCCACAACCTCAAACAGTCACACTCCAAACTCCACTATGGCCAAGACCAAAGAGCTGTCAAAGGACACCAGAAACAAAATTGTAGACCTGCACCAGGCTGGGAAGACTGAATCTGCAATAGGTAAGCAGCTTGGTTTGAAGAAATCAACTGTGGGAGCAATTATTAGGAAATGGAAGACATCCAAGACCACTGATAATCTCCCTCGATCTGGGGCTCCACGCAAGATCTCACCCCGTGGGGTCAAAATGATCACAAGAACGGTGAGCAAAAATCCCAGAACCACACGGGGGGACCTAGTGAATGACCTGCAGAGAGCTGGGACCAAAGTAACAAAGCCTACCATCAGTAACACACTACGCCGCCAGGGACTCAAATCCTGCAGTGCCAGACGTGTCCCCCTGCTTAAGCCAGTACATGTCCAGGCCCGTCTGAAGTTTGCTAGAGTGCATTTGGATGATCCAGAAGAGGATTGGGAGAATGTCATATGGTCAGATGAAACCAAAATAGAACTTTTTGGTAAAAACTCAACTGGTCGTGTTTGGAGGACAAAGAATGCTGAGTTGCATCCAAAGAACACCATACCTACTGTAAAGCATGGGGGTGGAAACATCATGCTTTGGGGCTGTTTTTCTGCAAAGGGACCAGGACGACTGATCCGTGTAAAGGAAAGAATGAATGGGGCCATGTATCGTGAGATTTTGAGTGAAAACCTCCTTCCATCAGCAAGGGCATTGAAGATGAAACGTGGCTGGGTCTTTCAGCATGACAATGATCCCAAACACACCGCCCGGGCAATGAAGGAGTGGCTTCGTAAGAAGCATTTCAAGGTCCTGGAGTGGCCTAGCCAGTCTCCAGATCTCAACCCCATAGAAAATCTTTGGAGGGAGTTGAAAGTCCGTGTTGCCCAGCGACAGCCCCAAAACATCACTGCTCTAGAGGAGATCTGCATGGAGGAATGGGCCAAAATACCAGCAACAGTGTGTGAAAACCTTGTGAGGACTTACAGAAAACGTTTGACCTGTGTCATTGCCAACAAAGGGTATATAACAAAGTATTGAGAAACTTTTGTTATTGACCAAATACTTATTTTCCACCATAATTTGCAAATAAATTCATTAAAAATCCTACAATGTGATTTTCTGGAGAAAAAAAATTCTCATTTTGTCTGTCATAGTTGATGTGTACCTATGATGAAAATTACAGGCCTCTCTCATCTTTTTAAGTGGGAGAACTTGCACAATTGGTGGCTGACTAAATACTTTTTTTCCCCACTGTATGTCATGCAATAAAATGCAAATTAATTACTTAAAAATCATACAATGTGATTTTCTGGATTATTGTTTTAGATTCCGTCTCTCACAGTTGAAGTGTACCTATGATAACCTCTACATGCTTTGTAAGTAGGAAAACCTGCAAAATCGGCAGTGTATCAAATACTTGTTCTCCCCACTGTATGTGTTGCAACCGAGGACAGACGATTTTTACTAGCTATGCGCTTCAGCATTCGGATTTCCCAATCTGTGAGCTTGTATGGCCTACCACTTCACGGCTGAGCCGTTGTTACTCCTAGACATTTCCACTTCACAATATCAGCACTTAGAGTTGACGGGGGAAGCAGGACAGAAATTTGACGAACTGACTTGTTGGAAAGGTGGCATCCTATGACGGTGCCACTTTGAAAGTCACTGAGCTCTTCAGTAAGGCCATTCTACTGCCAATGTTTGTCTATGGAGATTGCATTGCTGTGTGCTCGATTTTATACACCTGTCAGCAACGGGTGTGGCTGAAATAGCCGAATCCACTAATTTGAAGGGGTGTCCACATACTTTATTATATATAGTGTATGGAGGTTAAATTTTGTGCACGGAAGTTAATTTTCTTTCTCCATATTCACCTCAGTTTCCCAGGAGTAACATTCAAGGCCCAAATATTTACTGCCCTATTTTATTTCAAATGCATATTTATTCTTGATGAATAGTACTTGTTCACGTTTATTTACCACAACCTTTTTCTTGCAGGCTATGGAGTGCAGCGTCGCCGGGATAACACCGGTGACTGACAGCTGGATGGGGGAGTGTTGCATCGCTGTGAGACAGCTGGTGGCTGGAAAGAGCCTGACACTCACTGTGGTGGACACACAGGAGAATAACCGCACCTACGCAGTGGACATCCTACTGACTCCTATCGGTACTGTATCACAGGAAGGCAATGATCAGTTGGCTACAGTGAATAATAGTAGGTGAAAGAATTAATCACCACATTTAATTTGCCATAATAAGCGTAAGCATGATTGGGGTTAGGAACCTTGAGCATCTTTTTGCGCTCTCCTATTAGAGTACAGCTCTCAGTATACATCGTGCTGTAAAGTAATTTGTCCTTCTGTGAAATGTCGCTTTGAACTACACTACCGTTCAAAAGTTTAGGGTCACTTAGACATTTCCTTTGTTTTCCATGAAAACATACATGAAATTAGTTTGAATAGGAAATGTAGCAAAATGAATAGGAAATGTAGTCATTTACAAGGTTAGAAATAATGATTTTTAATATAAGTAATAGTGTCCTTCAAACTTTGCTTTCGTCAAAGAATCCTCCATTTGAAGCAATTACAGCTTTGCAGACCTTAGGCATTCTAGTTGTCAATTTGTTGAGGTAATCTGAAGAGATTTCACCCCATGCTTACTGAAGCACCTCCCACAAGTTGGATTGGCTTGATGGACACTTCTTACGTACCATACGGTCAAGCTGCTCCCACAACAGCTCAATATGGTTAAGATCCGGTGACTGTGCTGGCCACTCCATTATAGACAGAATAACCAGCTGACTGCTTCTTCCCTAAATAGTTATTGCATAGTTTGGAGATGTGCTTTGGGTCATTGTCCTGTTGTAGGAGGAAATTGGCTCCAATCAAGCTCTGTCCACAGGGCATGGCATTGCAAAATGGAGTGATAGCCTTCCTTCTTCAAGATCCCTTTTACCCTGTACATATCTCCCACTTTACCACCACCAAAGCACCCCCAGACCATCACATTGCCTCCACCATGCTTGACAGTTGGCATCAAGCACTCCTCCAGCATCTTTTCATTTGGTCTGCGTCTCACAAATGTTCTTCTTTGTGATCCGAACACCTCAAACTTCAATTCGTCTTTCCATAACACTTTCTTCCTCTGTCCAGTGTCTGTGTTCTTTTGCCCATCTTAAATTTTTCTTTTTATTGGCCGGTCTGATATATGGCTTTTTCTTTGCAACTCTGCCTAGAAGATGAGCATCCCGGAGTCGCCTCATCACTGTTGACATTGAGACTGGTGTTTTGCGGGTACTATTTAATGTAGCTGCCAGTTGAGGACCTGTGAGGCGTCTGTTTCTCAAACTGTCCTCTTGCTCAGTTGTGCACCGGGGCCTCCCACTCCTCTTTCTATTCTGGTTTGCACCAGTTTGCGCTGTGCTGTGAAGGGAGTAGTACACAGCGTTGTACGAGATCTTCAGTTTCTTGGCAGTTTCTCGCATGGAAAGTCCTTCATTTCTCAGAACAAGAATAGACTGACAATTTTCAGAAGAAAGTTATTTGTTTCTGGCCATTTTGAGCCTGTAATCGAACCCACAATTGTTGATGCTCCGGATACTCAACTAGTCTCAAGAAGGCCAGTTTCATTGCTTCTTTAATCAGCACAACAGTTTTCAGCTGTGCTAACATTATTGCAAAAGGGTTTTCTAATGATCAATTAGCCTTTTTAAAATGATCAACTTGGATTAGCAAACACAACGTGCCATTGGAACACAGGACTGATGGTTGCTGATAATGGGCCTCTACGCTTATGTAGATATTCCATTAAAAATCAGCCGTTTCCAGCTACAATAGCCATTTACAACATTAACAATGTCTACACTGTATTTCTGATCAATTTGATGTTATTTGAATGGACAAAAAAATTGCTTTTCTTTCGAAAACAAGGGCGTTTCTAAGTGATCTCAATCTTTTGAACGGTAGTGTATATAGATGTCTTTGCATGAATCTTTGCATCTTTCTTTTTTTGTTATGTTTGTGTCACTGAAACCTTAACTAACTTTAACACCATAACATAGTAAACCATACTCCATAGCCTTCATTGTCCTCTTTTTAAAATAAATGTCCTTTGTATGACTATTGAAGTGCTTTTCACGATGTCTGTCTTCATGTCTGCCATGTAAACACCATATCTTTCTCTGACAGGCAAACAGCTGAGCACCTTCCTCATTGACCAAGGTTACGCTGTGAGGGAGGTAGTCAATAAGAAGCTCACAGAACAGGACATTGGTGAGCACTGTCAATTTTATTTTGTGTCACCATTTTGCAACACTTGTTTTTCAAAGTTCCATAATAATAATTGGATTCTGGTACATTCTGATTCAAATTCCAGCTGAAATGTGTTGTCTTATACTACAAGGTAAAGGTTTACTCCAGTTTGTTCTAATATCCAGTAGTTGGTCCCGCTCTGCTCCCCTCTGCTCCAGACTCCCTGGTGAGTGCCTCCCTGGAAAACTTCCGCCGCCAGTCGGGGGGTAAGAACGAGAACATGGAGGCACAGCCACCTGACCCTCTGACCCAGGGACTGGGAGACACCTTCGCTGCCATGGTGACGCACCTGCAGTCGCCTTATGACATCATCTGTCAGAAACTGGACAACGCCAGTGAGTACAACCTATTGACAACCCATCAATACTCTTTTGATACATTTCTTTATTTGTATTTATTAAGGATCCCCATTAGCTGCTACCAAGGCAGCAGCTACTCTTCCTGGGGTCCAGCAACATTAAGGCAGTTATATACAATTTAAAATATTACATGACATTACATTTCATAACACTTTTCACAACACATTAAGTGTGTGCCCTCAGGCCACTACTATACTATCACATGTCTACAATACAAAATCCATGTGTACGTATGGGTAGAGTGCGTGTCTTATAATTTGTGTGTGTCTCTTCACAGTCCCTGCTGTTCCATAAGGTGTAATTTGATCTCTATTTTTAAAAAATCTGATTCTACTGCTTGCATCAGTAACCTGATGTGGAATAGTGTTTCATGTAGCCATGGCTCTATGTAGTACTGTGCGCCACCCATAGTCTGTTCTTGACTTAGGGATTGTGAAGATACCTTTGGTGGCATGTCTTGTGGTGTATGCATGGGTGTCCAAGCTGTGTGCTAGTAGTTTAAACAGACACCTCTGTGCATTCAGCATGTCAACACTTCTTACAAAACAAGTAGTGAGCCATGACTACACAATGGCGCCGGAGGGGATGGCTGCTGTTTTACGGGCTCCTAACCAACTGTGCTTATTTTGTACATAATGTTGCTGCTACCGTCTCTTATGACCGAAAAATAGTTTCTGGACATCAAACAGCGATTACTCACATCGAACTAGATGAAGATTTTTTCGTTAATGAGTCCGACACGAAGGATATACTGCTTCCCCGAGAACAGGCGACATGGATAATATAGAGCTGGCTGGGTTTTCCATGCATCGGCAGGAAAGAGCAGCTATGTCTGGTAAGACGTGGTGGGGGTGGGTGTCTATTTGTCAATAACAGCTGGTGCGTGATGTCTAATATTAAAGAAGTCTCGAGGTATAGGTCGCCTGAGGTAGAGTACCTCATGATAAGCTGTAGACCACACTATCTACCAAGAGTTTTCATCCACATTATTCATAGCGGTCTATTTACCACCACAAACAGATGCTGGTACTAAGACCGCACTCAACGAGCTGAATAAAGCCATAAGCAAACAAGAAAATGCTAATCCAGAAGCGGCGCTCCTAGTGGCTGGGGACTTTAATGCAGGCAAACTTAAATCCGTTTTACTAATTTACCAGATGTCACGTGCAAACCAGAGTTACTCCACACACAGAGACTCATACAAAGCTCTCCCTCGCCCTCTATTTGGCAAATCTGACCATAATTCTATCCTTCTGATTCCTGCTTACAAGCAAAAACTGAAGCTGGAAGTACCAGTGATTCGCTCAATACGGAAGTGGTCAGATGTTTTGCTAGCACAGACTGGATTATGTTCCGGGATTCATCCTATGGCATTGAGGAGTATATCACCTCAGTCACCCGCTTCATCAATAAATGCATCGACGACGTCGTGCCCACAGTGACCGTACGTACATATCCCAACCAGAAGCCATGGATTACAGGCAACATCCGCACCGAGCTAAAGGCTAGAGCTGCCTCTTTCATGGAGCGGGACACTAATCCGGACTCTTATAAGAAATACCGCTATGCCCTCAGACGAACCATCAAACCGGCAAAGCGTCAATACATGACTAAGATTGAATCCTACTACACCGGCTCTGATGTTCGTCAGATGTGGCAGGGCTTGTAAACTATTACGGACTACAAAGGGAAACCCAGCCGCGAGCTGCCCAGTGACGCGAGCCTACCAGACGAGCTAAATGCCTTTTTATGCTCGCTTGGAGGCAAGCAACGCATGCTTGAGAGCGCCAGCTGTTCCAGACGACTGTGATCACGCTCTCCGTAGCCGATGGGAGCAAGAACTTTAAACAGTGCAACATTCACAAAATTATGTCAGCCGGTGATTGTCAAGTAAATATCTGTCAGTCTCTCGGTAATTGACCGTTAATTAACATAAACACATTTATCATCTCCTGGCTTCCACACACAGCCTACAAGTCATTTTAAAAAGTCTAATAGATCCATGTAATATAGCCTACTCCTTCACAATAAATCCATTATTTATTTTAGACCAGTCTAAAGAAGCATGATATGAAGAAAAGGTCTATTTCAGAAGAAAATAATAGCATACTCCGAGTTGTCCTTATGTTAGGTCCTGATGTGGCTATGCCAAATGGCTGTGGGCTACACTAGTTCATTTAGCAGACAAGCTTTGCTTGTTATTCCTTGGCATTATTTTATAGTATGAAGAATACAATTGAACAAAGCTGAATAAAATATAAATATTTTCTCCAAATGATTTGAGGGAGTGCGCACATGCTGCTATTCTGTGTTGTGGTTAACAATGAAATAGGTACTCCTATATGCTTAATTTAGTTATTAATGTAACTTCAGTTGCTCTACATGTTGGGCTATATGTTTTGATTTTTAATATATTGTAAGGCTGCATGATGAGACTAATGATGATTTGAAAAAAGTCGCTTGGAAGGCATGAGCTCTGCTTTGTTTTTTTGCGCAGGCTGTACACACTCCAATAGTCTCTCATTCACAATTTGACAAACTCGAATTTCACGGCGGCATCCCTTTTGTGGCCGTAATGCACCCTAAAACAATCCATGCCTTTTGCGGCCCGGAGTGCTGCGGTGTGCCCTTCTCCCTGAGTGTGCTGCACAATCCGAAGCGTCTCTCACTCACATGGCTCTCCATCACGTGATCAGGTCTTTCTCACAGGCTACAAGTGAAGACTGACACATCGGGGACGCAACTGCGCGCATCCTTATCCAATTCCGAGGTGCATATTGAAGATATTGGAAGAACTGTCCACATTTACTTTCCGTCAGCCAACAAGTAGGTCTAACAAACAGCAAAAGCACTAGCTTATGTCAATCTACTATCCCCCATACTACAAAAGTCTGACCTATACTGTGCGAGAAATAAATATTCCGAACATAGTCTGGGACAGTTGTGTGATGTGATAGATCCCAAATGACCAAATTAATACAACCGCTAGCATCAAAAAAACTTTTTTATGCAATGTGGCTGACGCAACAGATTAGAACGTTTAGCTTAAAATGTTGATAAACTATTAGGCTATTTCTTCACATTATAAGCGCAGCAATGTGCACATGGCAGTAGGCTATAACTCACGCCCTGCTTATGTATGCCAGTTAGGCTCTACACCCCTTGTAAAGCAGATTAATGTGCTTAATTTTAAGAAGTTATTTGGCCACTTTAGTTGTGATACAAACCTTATTAAAACATATAGGCCTATGGGCTATGCTACATGAGGTGTGCGACTATGATTCGAAAAAGTCGCAAAAAAAAGGCATTGTTCCTTATGCTGGCCATCATTCACAAGTGATAATATTTACTTCACAAGTGATAGGCTAATATTGTCACCCTCAGCCTATTCTTGATTTAAACTTGTCTTTAAATATACTAAATAATATTTGTGTGAAATTCATTTTGATTTAGAATGGACCATTATCATGCACTCGTATCGAAACAGGGGGCAGTGGGAAAAAATATATCATATACACTACCGTTCAAAAGCTTGCTTTTCCCCGTGGGTTATTTTCATGCCAGCCAGGTAGGCTATACTCTTGTTGTAAAGAGAAGCAATGTGCTTAATATTAGGAAAGTTGAGAAATAAATATAGTAGGCCTAGCCTATAGAAAGCTGATGGGATCCTCTTTTTATTAGCGGCCATCACTGAAATGTTGCGCAACATGAGCTCATGGGCTCTCATGAAGTGTTTGATTAGATTTTCAATTACATTTGCCTTGATGTCAGAGTGATTTAGAGGGACAATAGATTGCTGAGTACCAGGCAGTTAGCAAGTTTGGTAGGCTACTAATAACCAGCAGCAGCATCAGAGCTTGGAGAATCCTAATTACCATGACTAAACGGTCATGTGGTATTTGACTGCCTTCATGACTCGTGACCGCCGGTGTGGCGGAAATACGGTCACCGCAACAGCCCTAGCTGAGGGGCCAGACGGATTACTAGGACGTGTACTCCGAGCATGCGCGGACCAGCTGGCAAATGTCTTCATTGCCATTATCAACCTCTCCCTGACCGAGTCTGTGATACCTACATGTTTGAAGCAGACCACCATAGTAGTCCCTGTGCCGTAGAAAGCTAAGGTAACCTGCCTAAATGGCTACCGCCCCGTAGCACTCATGTCGGTAGCCATGAAGTGCTTTGAAAGGCTGTTAATGGCTCACATCAACACCATCATCTCAGAAAGCCTAGACCCACTCCAATTTGCATACCTCCCCAACAGATCCACAGATAACGCGAACTCCATCGCACTCCACACTGCACTTTCCCACCTGGACAACAGGAACACCTATGTGAGAATGCTATTCATTAACTACAGCTCAGCATTCAACACCATAGTGCCCAGAAAGCTCATCACTAAGCTAATGACCCTGGGACTAAACACCTCCCTCTGCAACTGGATCTGAACTTCCTGACGGGCCGCCCCCAGGTGGTAAGGGTAGGTAACACATCTGCCACGCTGATCCTCAACACTGGGGCCCCTCAGGGGTGCGTGCTTAGTTCCCTCCTGTACTCCCTGTTCACCCATGACTGCATGGCCAGGCACGACTCCAACACCATAATTAAGTTTGCTGACGACTCAACAGTGGTAGGCCTGATCACCGACAATGATGAGACAGCCTATAGGGAGGAGGTCAGAGACCTGGCAGTGTGGTGCCAGGATAACAACCTCTCCCTCAATGTGAGCAAGACAATGGAGCTGATCGTGGACTACAGGAAAAGGCGGGCCGAACAGGCCCCCATTAACATCGACGGGGCTGTAGTGGAGCGGGTCGAGAGTTTCAAGTTCGTTGGTGTTGCATCACAGCCTGGTATGGCAACTGCTCAGCATCCGACCGTAAGGTGCTACATTGGGGCCAAGCTTCCTGCCAAACAGGACCTATATATTAGGCGGTGTCAGAAGAAGGCCCCAAAAATTGTCAGACTCCAGTCACCCAAGTCCTAGACTGTTCTCTCTGCTACTGCACGGCAAGCGGTACCGGAGCGCCAAGTCTAGGTCCAAAAGGCTCCTTAACAGCTTCTAACCCCAAGCCATAAGACTGCTGAACAATTAATGAAATGGCCACCCAGACTATTTACATTGACCCACCCCCCCCCCCCATTTTTACACTGCTGCAACTCGCTGGTTTATTATGTATGCATAGTCACTTTACCACTACCTACATGTACAAATTACCTCGACTAACCTGTACCCCCGCACATTGACTCGGTACTGGCACCACCTGTATATAGCCTTGTTATTGTTATTTTATTGTGTTACTTTTTATTTTTATCTTTACTTTAGTTTATTTAGTAAATCTTTTTTAACTCTATTTCTTGAACTGCATTTGTTGATTAAGGGCTTGTAAGTAAGCATTTCACGGCAAGGTCTACACCAGTTGTATTCGGTGCATGTGACAAATACAATTTGATTTGAGAGATTTACATGCGTATTATTGTTAGCTCTTCATGTACATTTAAAGGCCAGCCGTGCTGCCCTGTTCTGAGGCAATTTTAATTTTCCGAGGTCCCTCTTTGCGCCACCTGACCACACGACTGAATAGTAGTCCAGGTGTGACAAAACTAGAGCCGGTAGGACCTGCCTTGTTGATAGTGTTGTTAAAAAGGCAGAGCAGCGCTTTTATTATGGCCAGACTTCTCCCCATCTTATCTACTGTTGTATCAACATGTTTTGACCATGACAGTTTACAATCCAGGTTACTCCAAGCAGTTTAGTCACCTCAACTTGCTCAATTTCCACACCATTTATTACAAGTTTTAGTCGAGGTCTAGGGTTTTGTGAATGACTATTTTTTTTATATTTAGGACTAACTTATTCCTTGCCACCCATTCTGAAACTAACTGCATCTCTTTAAGTGTTGCATTGATTTCACTCGCTGTAGTAGCTGAACTGTACAGTGTTGAGTCATCTGCATACACAGCCACACTGGCTTTACCTTACGCATGTCATTGGAAAAAAAGCCTAGACAGCTGCCCTGTGCAATTCCTGATTCTACCTTGATTATGTTGAAGAGGTTTCCATTAAAGAACACCCTCTGTGTTCTGTTATACAGGTAACTTTATCCACAATATAGCAGGGGGTGTAAAGCCATAACACAAGTTTCTACGTCAGCGGACTATGATTAATAATGTCAAAAGCCGCACTGAAGTCTAACAAAACAGCTCCCACAATCTTTTTATCATCAATTTCTCTCAGCCAATCATCAGTCATTTGTGCAAGTGCTGTGCTTGTTGAATGTCCTTCCCTATATGCTTGCTGAAAGTCTGTTGTCAGTTTGACCCGATACAATGCTATTTTACTGTAAACAATCACAATTTCTCCTAAAGTTTACTAGGGTAACAGGCTGATTTTGTCAGCTATTTGAACCAGTAATGGGGGCTTTACTATTGTTGGGTAGCGAAATTACTTTTGCTTCCCTCCAGGCCTGAGGGCACACACTTTATAGTAGGCTTAGATTGAAGGATTGGCAATAACGTCCACATTATCCTCAGTAATTTTCCATCCAAGTTGTCAGACGCCGGTGGCTTTTCATTGTTGAATCATTTTTCACCTCTTCCACACTCACTTTACGGAATTAAAAATTACAATGCTTGTCTTTTCAATATTTGATCAGTTATACTTGGATATATATTGTCTGCGTTTGTTGCTGGCATGCCTAAGTTTGCTGATCTTAACAATGAAAAAATCATTAAAGTAATTGGCAATATCAGTGGGATTTGTTATGAGTGAGCCATCTGATTTAATGAATGATGGAGCTAAGTTTGCCTTGTTGCCCAACATTTCATTTAAGGTGCTCCAAAGCTATCATTCTTTATATAATTTATATTTTTCATAGTGTAGTTTCTTTGTCTTTTTTATTCAATTTAGTCACATGATTTCTCAATTTGCAGTATGTTTTCGGTTGTGCAGCCAGACTTATTTGCCATTCCTTTTGCCTCATCCCGCTCAACCATACAATTTTTAAATTCCTCATCAATCCACTGGGATTTAACAGTTTTAACTGGAATAAGCATTTTCATAAATGTGTCAAGTGCAGCGTCTGCTTTCTCCTCATTATACACCATAGACCAACAAATATTCTTTACATCAACAACATAGCAATCACTACAAAACGTATTGTATGACCTCTTATACACTATATTAGGCCCAGCCTTTGGAACTTTAGTTTTCCTAAATATGGCTACTATATTGTGATCACTACATCCAATGGGTTTCGATACTGCTTTAAAGCACATTTCTGCAATATTAGTAAAGATGTGAACAATACATGTTGATGATTTCATTCCTGTGCTGTTTGTAACTACCCTGGTAGGTTGACTGATAACCTGAACCAGGTTGCTGTCACTGGTTACAGTTTGAATATTTTTCTTGAGTGGGCAGCTTGACGAAAGCGAGTCAATATTTAAATCACCCAGAAAATATACCTTTCTGTTGATATCACATACATTATCAAGCATTTCTCACGTCATCCAGATACTGAATGTTAGCACTTGGTGGTCTATAGCAGCTTCCCACAAGAATGGGCTTTCGGTGAGGCAGATGACCCTGTATCCATATTACTTCAACAGCATTTAACATGAGATCCTCTCTCAGCTTTACAGGAATGTGGTTCTGAATATAGACAGCAACACCACCTTTGTCATTTCTGATGTTATAACCATTTGTTTCTGCCACTGTATCATCAAAGGTATTATCTAAGTGAGTTTCAGAGATTGTCAGAATATGAATGTCATCTGTTACTAGCAAATTATTGATTTCATGAACCTTGTTTCTTAAGCTACATATGTTAACGTAGGCTATTTTTAGCACTTTTCTGGGATGCTTGATTGTTTTCATTGCTTTACTGGGAAGCTTAGCAGAAGTAGGAATGCTCATGTTATTTATGTTCGTGTAGGGTGAGCTGCACACAGTGGACTTCCTAGTAGGGCACACTGCCTCAGTGCTAACAGTAAAACTCTTGTTCATAGGGACATGATTCCTGCATACAATAGGATCAGCAGAGGCATTCAGGGCAGTTAGAGGGACATTCATTAGGTTACCTACATTGTGTCTACCAACTTCAATGGGATAATGGACATTTGCGGAAGCATTATGTCAACTCAGCAACACAATGGTAGGGATTAATTTATCTGGGCTTGGGTCATTGATAAGTCATTGTCTCAGCGCAGCCTTATATTGCTGTGAAAGGATCCAGGAACCCAAATGATTTGGGTGGATCCCATCATCCTTATAAAACGAGCTTTGTTTCCAGAAGATATCAAAATTGTCAATAAATGTTACACCCACAGAGCTGAAATAGTCATGTAGCCAGTTATGGAGGGCTAACAGTCTGCTGAAACGTTCAATGCCACGATTTAGGGCCAGATATGAGAATTTCCTTCATCAATATCCTGTGTAAGTGTACTTGCCTCAGTGAAAAGGTTAAAAATACTGAACAAAAATATAAACACAAGATGTAACAATTTCATTGGTTTTACTGAGTTACAGTTCATATGAGGAAATCAGTCAATTGAATTAAATGTATTAGGTCCTAATCTATGGATTTCACATGACTGGGAAAACACAACATGGGCTTCATAATGGGCCTCATGATCTCATCACAGTATTTTTGTGCATTAACATTACCATAGATGAAATGCAGTTGTGTTTTTTGTCAGTAGCTTATGCCTGCCAATATCATAACCCCACTGCCATCATGGGGCACTCTGTTCACAATGTTGACATCAGTAAACTGCTTGCTCACATGACGCCATACACAAGGTCTGTGGTTGTGTTGATGGTTGGACGTACTGCCAAATTCTCCAAGACGACTTTGGAGGCGGCTTATGGTAGAGGCATGAACGTTAAATTCTCTGGCAACAGCTCTGGTGGACATTCCTGCTTTTGTGTAGGTTGGGCTGTTGTCTCTAGACCAGTGGCGGTCGATGCCGTTTTTAAGATGAGGGAGGACGCTAATAATTTTTATGAGCATGGCTTTATTTCTATTACAGTATATTGGATGACTATAATTCACATTCCATTCACCCAGCTCAATGTAACATCGATAGGTTTAGGTTACTACATGATACTCACATTTTCCCTATACCCATCATGAGGTTGCTACAACCTAGCCTATGAATGAAAGTTTGCAACGTAGGTGCACATGTTTGAGAGAAGCATTTGAGTTATCAAGGTGACCGACAGTGACACATTCAATACCGCCTTGCACACACTTGCCTGCATCTATCTGATATAGGGTGTAATCATTAGTCCAACAGTTACAAACAAGAGTTTCTATTTTACAAATTCAGGTCAGTTTCATTCCGTTTGCTAAACATTTTTCAACAGAATTGGCGGAATGAGTACACCCCTGATCACACGCAAACACAGTTCACTTTCATATCAGCCACATACAAACTGCATGATCACTTTGCTCGTTAATTCCTTCTCACATCGACGCGCTCTCAACTTTTCTCTTCGCGTGTGGACTTCAGTGCACAACACATCAGCTGTCTGTCACCAGGCAAAAACAAACTTCACAAGGCTAGCCTACATATTTGTCACCATATTAGCTAATGTCATATTCAACATAGCTACTAGATAGAACTTACGCGTTAGTAAACTCGCTACAATCATGCAGTAAGCAAGCAGTTTAGCAGTTACACTGGTGGGCCCCGTTGACAAGAAATTAATAAAACCAAAAGCTTACCGTGACTTTGAAAAGTTCCAGTGTTGGATAGCCAGCTAGCTAACTTGGCATCCCTCTCTGTTTGAACCGGGTGTTTGAGTAGGCTAAACTACCTAGCTGCATTCGCTAGCTAAAAAAAGTTAAAGTGAAAAAAAAGACCTCTCCTTTGCTTCTCCTTCATTTTTGAATACTTTTAATTTGTTAAAAACTGTTGTCTTTCTATCTCTCCTTGGGTTAACCACATTTTATGCACTGCGGTGCTAGCTAGCTGTAGATTATGCTTTCAGTACTAGATTAATTCTCTGATATTTTGATTGGGTGGACAACATGTCAGTTCATGTTGCGAGAGCTCTGATAGGTTTAAGGACGTCCTCTGGAAGTTGTCATAATTAATGTGTTGAGTGTATGGAAGTGGGTGAGAACCTTCAGCCTCCTAGGTTTTGTATTGAAGTCAATGTACCCAGAGGAGGACGGAAACTAGCTGTCCTCTGGCTACACCATGGTGCTACCCTACAGAGTGCTGTTTTAATACAATATTTGTTGACAGGCCAGTCATGTTCTTCCACACCGATCTCGACAAACCATTTCTGTATGGACCTCGCTTTGTGCACGGGGGCATTGTCATGGGCGTTTCCACAATAACAGCACTTACAGTTGACCAGGGCAGAAATTTGCCGAACTGGCTTGTTGGGAAGTGCCACGTTGAGCCAATGTTTGTCTATGGACGATTGCATGGCTATGTTCTTGATTTTATACACCTGTCAGCAACGGGTGTGGCTGAAATCGCCAAATCTGCTAATTGGAACGTGTGTCCACATACTTTTGTGTGTATATATAGTGTATCTGGGTCGTTTTCAGTTGGCTCAAAACAGGACAACACATTTTGAAACGGGGAGGTACTAATAAAAAATATAAAAAATCTGTTTTGCTGTAATGTGCCCTAGTGAATTGAACATAACCTAGTGGAGGTAATTCAGTCTCTTGTATCGTGGGCGCTGAGTGTTGTGTGTCTGTGCAGGTGTGATCCAGGAGCTTCATCTGAAACTGAGGGAGCACTGTTCTCAGGCCCCAGCCAGCCAGAACTTCAGACCTGCCCCTGGCACAGTGTGCTGCTCCCTATTCTATGGTAAGGACACACACACACTTATTCTGTGTCAGGCAAGAGTACTCACATTGACTCAGGACACATACACACTCAGAAAATGGACACACGATGAGCTCTCTGTTGTGATCTCAATCTTGACCGGGTTGAGGAATTTTGTGGAGCTTTGCCTGCCAAGGATCTCATCGCTGTTGGTAGTGATCTCTCTCTCACTCACTGTACCCTCCTAGAGGACAACCAGTGGTACAGGGCCAAAGTGCTGGCCTACTCCTCTGAAGAGAAGGTGTGTGTGGGCTACATTGACTTTGGCAACTCGGAGGAGGTGGAGCTGAGTCGCCTGCGTTCCATCACCTCTGAACTCCTAGCCCTGCCAATGCAGGCCATCCCTTGTGCCCTGGCAGGTATGACCTATTACACATTCAAGTCAATATATTGATTCATCTCGAATTTCTGCTTTTCTGACATCCTCTATTCATGTGTCATTCCATTTGGCCAAGGTGTCAATAACTAACTAAATTATAGCAATAAAGAAATGCATTGCCATTTCATGCCTTTTGATTCTGTACTTTTTGTCTCAAACTCAGGAATCTCCAGTGCATTAAATTGTGTTTTAGGGATAGTGGTAGTTTAACCTGATCACTTACAAACTCTAACTTTTTTAATTGCCTGTTACACACACACAATCCCACCCCTCCCCCTATAGGAGTGCGTCCCACGGCAGAGGCCTGGTCAGAGGAGACTGTGCTGATGCTCAGGCGGATGGTGTGTAACCGATTCCTGCGGGTAGAGATCCTGGGCGAGCGGGAGGGTATGGCGCTGGTGGCCATGATCGACGAGGCCAGCGACCCCCAGGGCAATGTGGCCGAGATGCTGGTCGCCACTGGTTATGCCTTGCCTGCCAACCATCAGGACGAAGAGGCCACCACCAAGGAGCAGGGTGAAGGAGCCTGGACAGAATCATCTCATGGTAACTAGAAGTCAGACCTGCCAACCTGTACGCCAGTGTTTCTGCTGTACTCATTTAGCATTAAGATTAGTCATCAATACGTTGCTAACTAGTAACAAGATCATGTTTAGAGTTAGTGATCTAGCAGCTAATGATTAACCCAATGGGGTAAATGCATGGGCAACATCATGCTTCAGCCTTTTTGTTTAGTTACAAAATATTTCACCCTCATCATTCAAATTAAATCAACCTCTTCACCCTCATCCTCATCATTCAGTTCATTCAAATTCAATCATGTCACGTGTAATTATCAGCTTCGATCACCCATTCATCCATTGATCTCATTTATTTAGTGACGAGAAAGAGACATTAGCGCCAGAGTACAAACGCCCAACGGCGAATTTGGTATTTTATTAGGATCCCCATTAGCTGTTGCGAAAGCAGCAGCTACTCTTCCTGGGGTCCACACAAAACATGAAACATGACATAATACAGAACATTAATAGACTATAACAGCTCAAGGACAGAACTACATAAATTTAAAAAAGGCATACTTCTCCAATGGGCAAAGAAACTCAAAAGGGGTGATGATATTAATTAACAATAATTTTGATCCAAATGTGCAAATTGTCCAAACTGATCTGCAAGGTAGATGGATGATTTTAAATATGTTATTGGACCATAAACAGATATGGCTCATTAACCTTTACGGACCAAATAATGATGATCCACACTTCTTTGACTATATATATATAATAAATTATCAACCCTGCAAGCAATACAATACTATATTATTATGGTGGGAGATTATAAAACTGTTTTAAATAGCACAATGGACCGTAAAGGAAATCACACTACAAACTATCACCCTCATGCTCTTAAGGAAATCATGAATGTCATGGATACATTAGAACTACTCCTGAGTGGCGCAGTGGTCTAAGGCACTGCATCGCAGTGCTAACTGTGCCACTAGAGATCCTGGTTCGAATCCAGGCTCTGTCGCAGCCGGCCGTGACCGGGAGACTCATGGGCGGCGCACAATTGGCCCAGCGTCGTCCAGGGTAGGGGAGGGAATGGCCGGCAGGGATGTAGCTCAGTTGATAGAGCATGGCGTTTGCAACGCCAGGGTTGTGGGTTTGATTCCCACGGGGGGCCAGTATATAAAAAAATATATATATAATGTATTCACTAACTGTAAGTCGCTCTGGATAAGAGCGTCTGCTAAATGACTAAAATGTAAAATGTAAATGTAACTAGTAGATACAGTGGGGAGAACAAGTATTTGATACACTGCCGATTTTGCAGGTTTTCCTACTTACAAAGCATGTAGATCTCTGTAACTTTTATCATAGGTACACTTCAACTGTGAGAGACGGAATCTAAAACAAAAATCCAGAAAATCACATTGTATGATTTTTATGTAATTAATTCGCATTTTATTGCATGACATAAGTATTTGATCGCCTACCAACCAGTAAGGATTCCGGCTCTCACAGACCTGTTAGTTTTTCTTTAAGAAGCCCTCCTGTTCTCCACTCATTACCTGTATTAACTGCACCTGTTTGAACTTGTTACCTGTATAAAAGACACCTGTCCACACACTCAATCAAACAGACTACAACCTCTCCACAATGGCCAAGACCAGAGAGCTGTGTAAGGACATCAGGGATAAAATTGTAGACCTGCACAAGGCTGGGATGGGCTACAGGACAATAGGCAAGTAGCTTGGTGAGAAGGCAACAACTGTTGGCGCAATTATTAGAAAATGGAAGAAGTTCAAGATGACGGTCAATCACCCTCGGTCTGGGGCTCCATGCAAGATCTCACCTCGTGGGGCATCAATGATCATGAGGAAGGTGAGGGATCAGCCCAGAACTACACGGCAGGACCTGGTCAATGACCTGAAGAGAGCTGGGACCACAGTCTCAAAGAAAACCATTAGTAACACACTACGCCGTCATGGATTAAAATCCTGCAGCGCACGCAAGGTCCCCCTGCTCAAGCCAGCGCATGTCCAGGCCCATCTGAAGTTTGCCAATGACCATCTGGATGATCCAGAGGAGGAATGGGAGAAGGTCATGTGGTCTGATGAGACAAAAATATAGCTTTTTGGTCTAAACTCCACTCGCCGTGTTTGGAGGAAGAAGAAGGATGAGTACAACTCCAAGAACACCATCCCAACCGTGAAGCATGGAGGTGGAAACATCATTCTTTGGGGATGCTTTTCTGCAAAGGGGACAGGACGACTGCACCGTATTGAGGGGAGGATGGATGGGGCCATGTATCGCGAGATCTTGGCCAACAACCTCCTTCCCTCAGTAAGAGCATTGAAGATGGGTCGTGGCTGGGTCTTCCAGCATGACAATGTCCTGAAACACACAGCCAGGACAACTAAGGAGTGGCTCCGTAAGAAGCATCTCAAGGTCCTGGAGTGGCCTAGCCAGTCTCCAGACCTGAACCCAATAGAAAATCTTTGGAGGGAGCTGAAAGTCCGTATTGCCCAGCGACAGCCCCGAAACCTGAAGGATCTGGAGAATGTCTGTATGGAGGAGTGGGCCAAAATCCCTGCTGCAATGTGTGCAGACCTGGTCAAGAACTACAGGAAACGTATGATCTCTGTAATTGCAAACAAAGGTTGCTGTACCAAATATTAAGTTCTGCTTTTCTGATGTATCAAATACTTATGTCATGCAATAAAATGCAAATTAATTACTTAAAAATCATACAATGTGATTTTCTGGATTTTTGTTTTAGATTCCGTCTCTCACAGTTGAAGTGTACCTATGATAAAAATTACAGACCTCTACATGCTTTGTAAGTAGGAAAACCTGCAAAATCAGCAGTGTATCAAATACTTGTTCTCCCCACTGTATATGGAGGCTTAAATATCCTGACCTATTGAGATACACATGGCGGAGACTCAATCAAGCGAGTCATCTTGACTTCTTTCTTATGTCATTCTCGTTGGCGCCAAAAGTTTAAAAAGTGTTGATGGGGACAGAATGCGGTCGGACCATCATATAATTGGCATATACTTTACTCTTACTGAATTTCCACGTGGGCGAGGATATTGGAAATTTAATCAAAGCCTATTGGATGATAACTTGTTTTTAACTAGGACAGAGGAATTGATAACTGTTTTTTTCCGACATAACATAGGTACAGCAAATCCCCTTATTGTATGGGACACTTTTAGATGTGCCTTTAGAGGCCATGCAATTCAGTACTCATCTCGAAAACAAAAGCAATTTAGGTCAAAAGATTCCATACTAGCAAAGGAAATAGTTCTAACATAACAGATGGATAGCAATAAAAGCTGTAACATAGCGGCTCAGAATAAATTACAGGAAAAACAAAAATAAATGGAGAAACTTAAGTGTAATATATTATAAAAAATAAAGCAAACTGGATGGAATATGGGGAAAAATGCACCAAATTATTTTTTAATATTCAACATCGAAATGCTACCAAAAATAATTTACTGAAACTGGTTACAAATTACAGTCACCATGATTCACCAAATGATATTTTGAAGGAGGAATAAAAGTACTTTAAGCATATGTTTTCATTTCAGTTGCCTCCATCTCCTCTAACTGAAGCTAACTGTAGGGATTTTTTCCCAATTGATAATGTAAAATTAACAGCCAAACAAAGACTCATGTGAAGGTTAAATTACAGAGGAGGAACTTCTGGATGCAATTAAAGACTTTAAGTCCGGGAAAACTCCAGGGTTGGATTGCATACCAGTCGAGGTATACCAAACCTTTTTTGATATACTAAGAGGACCGTTATTAGCATGTTTTAACCACTCCTATGTAAATGGTAGATTGTCAGACACTCAAGAAGAAGGTCTGATTTCATTATTACTGAAACAGGATACAAGTGGGAAATATAAAGATCCAGTCCATTTACACTTCAGTGTTGTGATGCAAAATGTATAGCGCATAGAATAAAAAAAATATTGTCTGACATTATTCATTCTAATCAGACAGGTTTTTTACATGGACGATACATTGGAGATAATATAAGGCAAGTACTGGAAACAATGGAACACTGAAAAATCTGGGAAACCAGGCCTGCTATTCATAGCAGACTTTGAAAAGGCATTTGAACAAGTACGACTGGAGTTTATATATAAATGTCTGGAGCATTTCAATTTTGGAGAATCTCTTATAAAATGGGTTAAAATCATGTATAGTAACCCTAGGTGTAAAATAGTAAATAATGGCTATTTCTCAGAATGTTTTAAACTGTCAAGAGGAGTAAAACAAGGTTGTCCACTATCGGCATATCTATTTATTATGGCCATCGAAATGTTAGTATCCAACAATAATATCAAGGAATTAGAAATCCAGGGCTTAAAAAGGTGTCATTGTACGCTGATGATACATGTTTTCTTTTAAATCCACAACTTGAATTCCTCCACAGCCTCATAAAATATCTAGATACATTTTCTAACTCTCTGGATTACAACCAAATTATGATAAATGTACTATATTACATATTGGATCACTAAAAAATAAAATGTCCATGTAGTTTACCAATAACATGGTCTGATGGTGATGTGGATATACTCAGAATACATAACCCAAATGAAATAAATGATCTCACTCCAATACATTTGAATAGAAAGTTAGCAAAAATAGATGATCTTGCTACCATGGAAAGGTTAAATACCTGTCTATTTGTGGAAAAATCACCCTGATTAACGCTTTACTATTATCCCAATTTACCTACGCCTAGTGAACATTTTTTTAAAATTTCAGAAAAAATATATTCCATTTTATTTGGAACGGCAAGCCAGACAAAATTAAACAGGCCTATTTATATAATGAATATGATTTCGGAGTACAGAAATGATTAAATATTAAAGCATTAGACCTAAAAGCTTCAGTCATACAAAAGTTATACTTAAATCTGACTGGTTCTCTAGCAAATTAGTAAGATTGTCTCACCCCATGTTCAAGAATGACCTTTTTCCCTTTATTCAGATTACAACCTTTCACTTTCAGTTATTTGAAAAGGAAATAATCTCCCAAATATCACTATTTCTAAAACAAGCCATAGAAAGTTGGTTGCAATTTCAATTTAATCCTCCAGAAACGACAGAACAAATAATGCAACAAATATTGTGGTTAAACTCAAATATACTAATTGATAATAAACCATTATGTTAAAAAAAAAAAAAAAAGGTATTCTTTATAAATTATATGGAGTTGTGTCGCACATAACAGCAGCTAACAAATGGAAATGTCTGCTCTACTCAAAATTACGACCAAATAATTGCAGCATTACCACAAAAATGGATTCAATTTAAATTATTATATACACATTTTGCTACCAATAGAATGTTATTTATATAGGGGATACAATCTACCCAGCTCTGCAGATTTTTCTGCGAAGAGAAATAATCATTTGTTTTGGTACTTTCTATTTGTAGCTTATTTTTGGTCACTGGTCCAGGAATGGCTGAAGGATTGCAATATTTACCTGGAGCTTACCCTGCAGATAGCACTACTGGGTGATCTGAAAAGTCATAGTCAATCGATCAATAATATAATAATACTTTCAGAATTGTTTTTTATTTTAGATTTACAATCTGTAGAAACAATGATAATAGAAGGGTTCAGAACTTTTGTGAAACATTCACAGTACAGTTGAAAAATATATAAATCCAATATGGATGGTGTTAGGAGATAGATGGGATGTGTTGAATGGAGCTGAAGGATGGGACTAATAACAACTAACAACAACTAATAACAACAAGATAACTAATATAAAGCATACTGTGTCCATAATAAGTATATAGGTTATAGGTTGAGAGCTTTAATGAAGCTGCCAGTTGAGGACCTGTGAGGCGTCTGTTTCTAAAACTAGACACTCTAATGTATTTGTCCTCTTTCTCAGTTGTGCACCGGGGCCTCCCACTCCTCTTTCTATTCTGGTTAGAGACAGTTTGCACTGTTCTGTGAAGGGAGTAGTACGCAGCGTTGTACGAGATCTTCAGTTTCGTGGCAATTTCTCGCATGGAATAGCCTTCATTTCTCAGAACAAGAATAGACTGACGAGTTTCAGAAGAAAGTTATTTGTTTCTGGCCATCTTGAGCATGTAATCGAACCCACAATTGCTGATGCTCCAGATACTCAACTAGTCTCAAGAAGGCCAGTTTTATTGCTTATTTAATCAGCACAACCGTTTTCAGCTATGCTAACATAATTGCAAAGGGGTTTTCTAATGATCAATTAGCCTTTTAAAATTATAAACTTGGATTAGCAAACACAACGTGCCATTGGAACACAGGACTGATGGTTGCTGATAATGGGCCATGCTCTGAGGACGCGGCTAGTAATCACCTTTTGAGGGTGGACTGTATTATTATGCATACTTGATGGACTGGTTAACTTATGCTACACTTTAAACGTTCTATCCACGAGTCTGTGAGAGAACATATAGGCCTAGGTAATGCTGTTGGTTCATCGATTGTGCAGGGTGGCTTACCAAGTTGGCCTTCAATTATAGTGAATTTGTTTTTGAATAGCCTAGTAATAGGGCATTTTTTATATTTTCATAATTAGTAGGCTGAGACATTACCATTCGCTACAGAATATCTCACCACCGTGCGTTTCCATCTTCTCTCTCCTTCATTACTTCCTCGAGCACGCAGAGAGAGGGGCTGTCAACAGTTTTAATTTATTATTTTGTTGTGAAAACATGTTACTATCGATGTTAATGAACAGATTTCACTTTGTTTCCCAAATGGGTAGCTGCAGGAACATGGTTGGAGAGCCATGTTATACAGTGTTAGGGCAGAATATCACCTGTCGCGCAGCGAGAGGCTGCATGCTCCTCAGTGGTTGATTGTGACGATATATAAGTGTTACAGTGAGGGGAAAAAAGTATTTGATCCCCTGCTGATTTTGTACGTTTTCCCACTGACAAAGACATGATCATTCTATAATTTTAATGGTACGTTTATTTGAACAGTGAGAGACAGTATAACAACAACAAAATCCAGAAAAACGCATGTCAAAAATGTTATAAATTGATTTGCATTTTAATGACGGAAGTAAGTATTTGACCCCTCTGCAAACATGACTTAGTACTTGGTGGCAAAACCCTTGTTGGCAATCACAGAGGTCAGACGTTTCTTGTAGTTGGCCACCAGGTTTGCACACATCTCAGGAGGGATTTTGTCCCTCTCCTCTTTGCAGATCTTCTCCAAGTCATTAAGGATTCGAGCCTGACGTTTGGCAACTCGAACCTTCAGCTCCCTCCACAGATTTTCTATGGGATTAAGGTCTGGAGACTGGCTAGGCCACTCCAGGACCTTAATGTGCTTCTTCTTGAGCCACTGTTTTGTTGCCTTGGCCATGTGTTTTGGGTCATTGTCATGCTGGAATACCCATCCACGACCCATTTTCAATGCCCTGGCTGAGGAAAGGAGGTTCTCACCCAAGATTTGACGGTACATGGCCCCGTCCATCGTCCCTTTGATGCGGTGAAGTTGTCCTGTCCCCTTAGCAGAAAAACACCCCCAAAGCATAATGTTTCCACCTCCATGTTTGACGGTGGGGATGGTGTTCTTGGGGTCATAGGCAGCATTCCTCCTCCTCCAATCACGGCGAGTTGAGTTGATGCCAAAGAGCTCGATTTTGGTCTCATCTGACCACAACACTTTCAACCAGTTCTCCTCTGAATCATTCAGATGTTCATTGGCAAACTTCAGACGGGCCTGTATATGTGCTTTCTTGAGCAGGGGGACCTTGCGGGCGCTGCAGGATTTCAGTCCTTCACGGCGTAGTGTGTTACCAATTGTTTTCTTGGTGTCTATGGTCCCAGCTGCCTTGAGGTCATTGACAAGATCCTCCTGTGTAGTTCTGGGCTGATTCCTCACCGTTCTCATGATCATTGCAACTCCACAAGGTGAGATCTTGCATGGAGCCCCAGGCCGAGGGAGATTGACAGTTCTTTTGTGTTTCTTCCATTTGCGAATAATCGCACCAACTCTTGTCACCTTCTCACCAAGCTGCTTGGCAATGGACTTGTAGCCCATTCCAGCCTTGTGTAGGTCTAAAATCTTGTCCCTGACATCCTTGGAGAGCTCTTTGATCTTGGCCATGTTAGAGAGTTTGGAATCTGATTGATTGCTTCTGTGGACAGGTGTCTTTTACAGGTAACAAGCTGAGATTAGGAGCACTCCTAATCTCAGCTCGTTACCTGAATAAAAGACACCTGGTGCCAGAAATGTTTCTGATTGAGAGGGGGTCAAATACTTATTTCCCTCATTAAAATGCGAATCAATTTATAACATTCTTGACCCCCTCTCAATCAATATATAACATGCGTTTTTCTGGATTTTTTTGTTGTTATTCTCTCACTGTTCAAATAAACCTACCATTAAAATTATAGACTGATCATTTCTTTGTCAGTGGGCAAACGTACAAAATCAGCAGGGGATAAAATACTTTTTTCCCTTCACTGTATATGCCCAGACGTTTGTATATGCAATCCTGTGTGAAAGCAGAGTTTTGATGGTTGCCTAAGAAGAGGATCCCAGCTGCTACTATTATTTATTTCTCAGCTGCTAATATTAAGCACATGCTTCGCTATAAAAACAGAGAAGCCTATCTGGCATGTTTGAAATACGAACTGAGGGGAATGCAGCCTCCATTCGCAATTTGCGTGCGTACGGAAGACGTCTTTTTTTCCGCTGTTCCTGCCAATTTGATAATGGATCGTTCTTAATGAAACTAATTTAACATCTTTGTAAAAACGAAATTAAATTGAGAATAGTCTGATGGATGAAAATATGATCACTTGATGAGAGAACAGCATGTGCAGCCTGAGGCAAGGAAAAGAGCGTAAGCTTTTTTGCGACTTTTTCAAATAGTCAATAGCATGTAGTCGCATCATGTTTCGATTTCTTAGACATTCTAAGGTTTGTGTCATTCACAACTACTGCCAAATAACTATAAATCTAGCTCATAGAACCTGTTTAATTATCACTTTAATACTCAACATAGCCACTTCATATGCGCACTCGCTCCGTAATGGGAAAAATATGATTTATATATTTATTAAGTTAAGTTCAATTATATTCTTCTTACTATAAAATCATATAAAATAATGGCACGGGACTTATTAGCATATCTTGTCCGCTAAATGAACTAGCCAACAGCCTATGGCATGGCGCATAACCATATAATATACGGTAGGCCGACTCCATATTTCGTTCTTCTGAAATGAATTTTCTTCGTAGCATGCTTCTTTAGACCTGCTTAAAAAAATTATGGATTTATTGTTATGGTGTATATTAAATATATTAGACATTTTTTTATGTAGTGGCCTAGATGTTCGAAAGGCGCGCATCAGCAGCTCGTAAGCGTGTCGCCCTGGAGATTCTAAACATGATTATGTTAATGAAAGATTACCGTGAGACCGGCAGTCATTTGCATGACCATAACCGGCTGACAAAATTGAATGACAGCCATAGCCCTAGTTAACATGCTTGTTAATGTTTTGTTTTTCCATATCAGATTGGTGGTCTTAGCTTTTTAGTTTATTCACTTCTTGATCGAAAAACCATCGGTGAAGTAGACGCGCGGACGCTCTACCATTCCCGTGACGTTTCAATATGGCTGCGGCCACATCTCTTGAAGCTTGTGCGACGCAAAAAAACATATAATATTGTGTTCTAAAAGCATTTTCATTAAGCTATAAAAACAGAGTTGCACACTCCATATGTATAATCTCCCAGTAATTTATTGGGTAAAAAACCACCAACATTTCGGTGTCACTGTGCCTTCTTCAGGGTAATGTCATGAATGCTTGAACCAGGTTATGTAGAAAACAGTGCAATTAGTGCAACCATGGGACAACAGTGAGGGGTGTGTCATAATTGCTAGGTTGATCAGAATGAATTGAGCGAAACTGTTAAAAGACAATAGCCCACAGCATATTTAATATATTATGCCATTGTTAGCATTATCATAACATTAGCATCAACATGCATTATTGTTTCATTTAATTTCACCTATATATTTAAATATTTCCAATTTCATTAAAGAAAATGGTTACATGTAATCTTTTGGGTCAACAATAGTGCATAATAAGCATCATCAACAGGGGGAACATATGCTGATAAACTGTAGAATCAATATATTCATTACAATTCTGTTCACAGAAAATATAATTGTTCATAAGAAGGGCCTGAGATCAAAGTCAATATTCAGACCACTAGGGCTCAATGTTTTTAAATAGGATATCCAGTAGGCCTCCCTCTGTAGTAGTAGGGTCTCGATGTTACCTCCTCTCCTTGGTAGAGCAACATGCTCAATGCCTGTGTATTTGAGGGAGGACATGGGATGGTTAGCTTCAACAAAGTGAGCTGCTACTGGATAGAAGGCACCAGGGAAAATCTTTTTAAAGAATTCCAAGACTGTTCATCTAATAAAAGTAGAACACACCTGCATATCGTCACTTTAAGTGGGTATGTTCGAAATGGAGTTATCCCACGCGGACTACGTTGGCAAAAAGAGCCTTCATTTGGCCAACGCACGAAAGAGTTTTGTGAACGTTGGTGTGCTATACTTAACAACTGTTCACTGGACCTGATGACTTTGATCATCGAAACCTCCATTGACAATTCACAGCAAGCTCTATGAGACGAGCTAAATTATCCTATCAAACTGGATGATCTCATTAAGAGTAACGCTGACCTTCAGACCAAGATTACGACGGAACTGAGGGAGTCCCTCTGTCAGACCATCTATCCACATACAGCGCTACCTCTGGCTCCTCTACCAACGGTGAGCGTTTTTTCTCCAACAGAGGGCGCGGACACTGGGGACAACGTCGAGGACAACACCCCCAGTACGTAAGACGGTTCGACTCACACGTCTGGGGAAGAAGAAATCCACTACCATCCCGCAATACCTACCAGTTGAGATCCAGGACGGCCCCCCAGTCCAACAGGAGCTAAATGTCTTCAACTTATCAAGTAAGACCCTGACACCAGCCCACCTTAGTGTTCTCAATAAGGGGTTATCATTTGTACCTACTACCTACATGAATGACTGACGTCCATATAGATCTATTCAAGGTTTTCCGTAATCTGAGATTGCGTGAGTTCTTGGATAAGAGTGAAATTTACATGACTCCACTTGAAATGTCATCCTCAGTGAGATATACACATAGGTCTACCACGTTAATCGATAGACTTACCTGCCCTACCATGAGTCAAGCAGGAGATGGAGCCATCAACCAAGCTGAGGTACCTGAGAACTCTGAGAGAACCACATTTAGAGCAAAAAATTCATTCGTACCTCCCCCCAAACGCAATGCATCCATAGAAACCTTCTGCAGGATTGTTGAAAATGATGTAGGTGACCTACTGAAAGACAAACAGAAACACATCCTATGATAACCTAAGTAGAGACGAGCGAATGGCTCTTAAGGACTTACAATGAGATCCTTCGATTATCATTTAAAAGATGTGATTGAGAATCTCCCATGTTATGTCAAAGACACTAGTCACATGATCTCATTGATAGAGGGCTTAGGAAGGATACCAGAGGGCACCCTGCTGGTCACTTTTGATGTGGAGAGCTTGTACACTAACATCCCACACACTGGAGGCTTGCAGGCGCTGCAACACTTCCTTCAGCAGAGAAACCCTACCCCTTGCTCCATCCAATGATTGCATCTTGCAACTCACTGAACTGGTATTATCCAATAACTACTTAATCTTTGTGTCAGACTTTTTCCTTCAAATTCGGGGTGTAGCCATGGGCTCCCCCTTCGCCCCCAACTAAGCAAACCTGTATGTGGGACAATTTGAGGAAGCGCTCATTTACAAAACAGAGACACACCCCCTACTTTCTAAAATCCTCCTATGGAAGAGATACATAGATGATGTCTTTGTGCTCTGGGAAGGAAGTCAGCAGGAACTAAATAATTCCTAACTCTGCTAAACGAGAGCTCTGAATATCTCAAATTCACCATGAAGACTGATGAGAGAAAAAAAAAAATACCTGGACTTATGGATCATCAAAGAGAATGATGCATTACATACATACTTATACACAAAGCCCACAGACCGCAATACCCTGCTACGTGCGGTTAGTATGCATCCCCTTCCCCTCAAGAATGGTCTACCATATAGCCAGTTATGCAGGGTTGAATGAATCTGTGGCCACCAGTCAGTTTTTGACAGCAATGCTAAGAAAATGACAGAAAAATTTCAAATGAGAGGCTATAAGGACAAAACTCTTAATGCTGCAATGATGAAAATATCTCAAAAACCAAGAGGAATTGCTAAAAACTAAACCAAAGGAGAAAAACAACGCAACAGTGTTTTGCACTAAGTACACCAAGTGTTCGGAGAAAATGAAGCGATCCTGAAAAAGCACTGGCATATTTTGCAATCAGACAAAAATAATTGCACACCTCTTCAAGGAACTCCCACTGGTGGTCTATAAGCGTGGTCACAATATTGGGGATAGCTTAGTGAGATCTGAACTGCCCCCTGAGCCCACTCAGACACTCTTGACACCCATTCCAAATGGGAACTACAAATGTGGCTCATGCGCACAGTGCAATAGCTCTACAAAAGCATCCTTCTTCAGACACCCACATACAGGTCGAAAAATCCCTGTTAGGGGTATCATCTTATGCAAGACAAAGGGAGTAATCCATCTCATCACCTGTACATGTGGGAAAGCCTACGTAGGACAAACGAAAAGACAATTAAAACAATGCATAGCTGAACACCGCAGCTCAATCAGGTGTGCTAACACTGACTATCCAGAAGCAGCTCACTTTGTTGAAGCTAACCATCCCATGTCCTCCCTCAAATACACAGACATTGAGCATGTTGCTCTACCAAGGAGAGGAGGTAACATCGAGATCCTACTACTACAAAGGAAGGGCTACTGGACATCCTATTTAAAAACATTGAGCCCTAGTGGTCTGAATATTGACTTTGATCTCAGGCCCTTCTTATGACCAATTATATTTTCTGTGAACAGCTCTTGTAAATGAATATTCTTTCCTACAGCCTATCAGCGTACACCCAATATGTTCCCCCTGTTGATGATGCTTATTATGCATTATGATTGACCCAAAAGATTACATGTAACCATTTTCTTTAATGAAATTGGAAATATTTAAATATATAGGTGAAAGTTTTATGAAACAATGAATGTTGTTGCTAATGTTATGCTAATACTAATGATAACAATGGCTTAATATATTCAATATGCTGTGGGCTATTGTCTTTTAACAGTTTCGCTCAATTCATTCTGATCAACCTAGCAATTACGACACACACCTCACTATTGTCACTGGTTGCAGTAATTGCACTGTTTGTCTACATAACCTGGTTCAATCATTCATGACATTACCCTGAAGAAGACACAGTGATGCCGAAACATTGGTGTTTTTTTTACCCAATAAATTACTGGGAGGTTATAGATAGGGAGTGTGCGACTCTTTTGTTTTTATAGTTTACAGTTTATTCAAGGTTAGTCAGCACCTCTACACTAAATAACTTTCTCTGGGTGTGCGCCAGCTCATGCTTTTTATTAGACTAAAAGCATTTTCATAACATTACGTTCAACAAGGTAACCTAACATCGACATGGTACAAACTGTTGTAGGTTGATTTTAGCGTTTCAGTTAATCTTTTTTTTTTAATGGCTGACGCATGGGGTTATCCATTTGCATTTACCTCATTGGAAAAACCCCAAGACACTGAATTAATCAAATGCTACTTGCTACCTGGCCAAGGCTTTCGACTCTGTCAACCACCGCATTCTTATTGGCAGACTAAATAGCCTTGGTTTCTCTAATGACTGCCTCGCCTGGTTCACCAACTACTTCTCAGATAGAGTTCAATGTGTCAAATCGGAGGGCCTGTTGTCTGGACCTCTGGCCGTCTCTATGGGGGTGCCACAGGGTTCAATTCTCGGGCCGACTCTATTCTCTGTGTATATCAATGATGTCGCTCTTGCTGCTGGTGACGCTCGGATCCACTTCTATGCGGACGACACCATTTTATATACATCTGGCCCTTCATTGGACACTGTGTTAACAAATCTCCAAACGAGCTTCAACGCCATACAACACTCCTTCCGTAGCCTCCAACTGCTCTTAAACACAAGTAAAACTAAATGCATGCTCTTCAACCGAACGCTGCTTGCACCTGCCCCCCCGACTAGAATCACTACTCTCGGCGGGTCTGACCTAGAGTATGTGGACAACTACAAATACCTAGGTGTCTGGTTAGACTGTAAACTCTCCTTCCAGACTCACATTAAGCATCTCCAATCAAAAGTTAGATCTAGAATCGGCTTCCTATTTCGCAACAAAGCCTCCTTCACTCATGCTTCCAAACATGCCCTCGTAAAACTGACTATCCTACCGATCCTTGACTTCGGCGATGTCATTTACAAAATAGCCTCCAACACTCTACTCAGCAAATTGGATGTAGTCTATCACAGTGCCATCCATTTTATCACCAAAGCCCAGTATCTCTATTTGCACATCATCTTTTGCTCATCTATCATTCCAGTGTTAATACGAAATTGTAAATATTTTGCACTATGGCATATACCTCCATAACTTACTACATTCGCACACACTGTATATATATTTTCTGTTCTATTTTTGACTTTATGTTTTGTTTACCCCATATGTAACTCTGTGTTGTTTTTATCGCACTGCTTTGCTTTATCTTGACCAGGTCGCAGTTGTAAATGAGAACTTGTTCTCAACTGGCTTACCTGGTTAAATAACGGTGAAATAAATTAAATAAAAAATGGTACATTGTGACTCTGATCTTAAAAATGCGTCTCGGTATAAATATTTATTTTTATCATATAATTTTGAGTGGTGGCAACGATTTGACACTGCTAAATGAATATAGGGGAAACACTGAGAATATTATTCTCCTGTGACCATTTATTTTGGGGTTCAATTGCAGTTCTTCCTTCACCACAAGAGAGCAGTGTGCCGGTTTCAGGGGGCCATAGTCTCACTGCTGCATTCCCGAAGTTGTTGACTCGTTGTGCTAGCAAGTTAGCTAGCAGCAGAGACTTTAGGGAATCCAATATAATCACTGGCTAGCAGTTCTCAGCCATCTCTTACTGGCGGTAAAAACTGATTGCCATAATTTTTTCCTGTCATTACTCAATGATTACATTTAAGAAACCAAACATTAAACTAGAACAGTACATTTCCTAAAGAAAATGGCTGTGCTTGCTAGCTTGTGTCAGAGTATTTATGGTTGTGAAATAAGTTATACTAGTGGTAGACTGGTTATAGTTGAAAAAGTAGGTACATTTACATTTTCGTCATTTAGCAGACGCTCTTATCCAGAGCGACTTAGAAATTGGTGCATTCACCTTATGATAGCCAGTGGGACAACCACTTTACAATATATATATATTATTTTTTTTGGGGGGGTGGGTTAAGGGGGGGGTAGAAGGATTACTTTATCCTATCCCAGGTATTCCTTAAAGAGGTGGTAGATGGAAATATTTGGTTGATAGGATAGCCTGAACATGTGAACGGTTGGTGGGTTATTTTATGCATATTTTAAAAGTTAGAATTGATAATGTTTTGAAAATGTTAGTTGCTAAGGAGCAGGATAATTCTGAATAGGTACCACTGTTTACTTATGGTTCTCATTTAAACCCATGTTAAGTTTTAAATTGTTATAGTTAAAAATATATAAATACTTTCAACAATCTGCTACTTCTGAAAGTATTCAGACCCCTTGACTTTTTCCACATTTTGTTACGTTACAGCCTTATTCTAAAATGGATTGCATTTATTTTTCCCCCCTCAGAAATCTACACACAATACCCCATAAGACAAAG